GGATGGATGTGTCAGAGGCAATGCGATTGGCACAGGATAGAGCAGGGTTTAGGGCTGTTGTACATAGGGTCGCTATGAGTCGCAAACAACTCAACGGCACATAACAACAACAACAATTCTAGTTTTATGGCATCGTGGTTTGAGGAGATGCTTTGTAATATTTCAATGTGTTTTAATTCATCAACACTTGTTTTGTGTCCCAATACAGGATTAATTCTATCTTAATCATGTGACTTGGAAAGAAAAGTATTGTCTTTTATTTGGATTCAGTACCTGGAATACATCCATAAGGTCAAGTTGGCTGATTGTATAGTTTAGATCTTTTGCATCTTTGTTAATTTTACTTTGCGTTAACCTATCATTTGGTGAAAGTGGCATGTTAAAATCTCCTACCATGATTGTGGTGCTGTCTCTTTTTTCAGTTCTTTCAACCATTGTTTTAAATATTTTGCAGGTCTATCATTTTGTCCATAAATGTTGACTGAGATTATGTCTTCTTGATCTATTGTGACTTTAATCATTACATTGCCTTTCTTTATCGTTGATGATGATTTTCATCCTGAAGACTCTTTTTTTTCAGAGGTTAGTTAGCCACTCCTACATTTTTGTGGATCTCATTTGTTTGAGATTTTTTTCTAGCCTTTGATTATTAGTCTATCTCTTCATTTCTTAGATGTGTCTCTTATAGGCAACATATTGATGGGCTTTGGCTTCTTATCCATTCTACAATTCTTTTCATCTTCATTTACATTAAGAATAATTATTGACCAGACAGGTTTAGTGTTGCCACTTTACTGTGTTTCTTTTTCTGCTGTTGCTGGTTACTATGATCCTAGATGATCCAGGAAGTATTACAGAAGACAGAAAGAATATATGGAGTCACTGTATCAAAAGGAATTAGCAGCCAAAGAAGAATTTAATGAAACAACAGATAAGCAAGAGCCTATGGTGATGAAGGAAGAAGTTCAAGCTGCTTTGAAGGAAATAGCAAAAAATAAGGCCCCAGGAATAGATGGCATACCATTTGACATATTTCAGCTAACAGATGCTGCCCTGGATGCACTCACCAAGTTGTGCCAAAAAATCTGGAGAACAACCATTTGGCCAACTGACTGGAAGAGATCTATATTTGTTCCCATCACAAAGAAGGGTGACTCAACAGAGTGTGGGAACTATAGAACAATCTCATTGATTTCACATGCAAGCAAGATTCTACTGAAGATCATCCAAAAATGACTGGAACAGCACATCAGCAGAGAACTGCCAGAAGTCCAGGCTGGGTTTAGAAGGGGTCATGGTACTAGGGACATTGTAACTGATGTTAGGTGGATCTTGGCTGAGAGCAGGAGTACCAGAGGAATGTCTATCTGTGTTTCATTGATTATGCAAAGGCGGTTGACTGTGTGGATCATAACAAACTGTGGCTGACTCTGTGAAGAATGGGAATACCAGAACACTTGATCGTTCTAATGCAAAACCTATACTTGGACCAAGAGGCAGTCATCAGAACAGAGCAAGGAAACACTGCATGGTTCAAAATTGGGAAGGGTTTATGCCAGAGATGTGTTCTGTCTCCATACCTTTTCAACCTGTATACAGAACAGATTATCTGGGAGGCTGGACTCTATGAGGAAAAATGTGGTGTCAGGATTGGTGGAAGATCTATCAACAATCTGCGTTATGCAGATGACACAGCCCTGCTTGCTGAAACTGAGGAGGACCTGAAGCCCTTGCTGCAGTGGCTCAAGGACTGCAGCCTTCAATATGGATTGAGACTCAATGTCAAGGAGACAGATTCTCACCACTGGGCCAACTGGCAGCATCATGATGGATCGTGAAGAGATCAAGATTGTTCACAGCTTTAGTTTGCTTGGCTCCACAGTCAACACTCTTGCCTACAGCAGCCAGGAAATTGAAAGATGTATTGTGATGGGAAAGTATGCTGTTAGGACCTCTCCAAAGTACTGAAGAGCAATGGCATCTCTCTGGAGACTAAAGTGTGTCTGATACAGGCCATGGTCTTTGCATTCACTTGTTATGCATCAGAGAGTTGGACAATGACTAGGGAGGATAGAAGGAGATGCCTTTGAGCTGTGGTGCTGGAGAAGAGTATTGAGGGTACCATGGACTGCTAAGAAAACAGACAGATTCATCCTGGAGAGGGTTAAACCAGGCAACTCCTAGGAGGCAAGGATTCTGAGGCTCCATCTAACATACTTTGGACATGCTGTAAGGAGGGGCCAGTCCTTACAGAGGGACATCATGCTTGGAAGGGTGGAGGGACAGTGCAGGAAAGAAATTCCCTCTATGAGGTGGATTGATTCAGTGACTGGGGTAATCAGGATGGGTGTATCGGAGACAGTGCGATTGGCACAGGACAGAGCAGAGTTTAGGGCTGTTGTACATAGGGTTGCTATGAGTCGCAAGTGACTTGGTGGCTCATAACAACAACATGGTCCATATACTTTCCTTTGGTGTCTCTGTGTGAAGGACTTCCCTTAAAATTACTTGTAGTTTTGGCCTTGTTTTCATATATTCCTTAAGTTCCCCTTATTTGATGAGCAGCTTTGCTAGATATTGGATCCTCAGCTGGCAAGTCTTTTCTTTCACCTTTCTGTATATGCCATCCCATTGTCATCTTGCTCACATAGTTTCTGCTGAGAAATCAAAATTTAATCTCATTGTTTTCCCTTCATTAGTGACTTGGTTTTTCTCATGCTGCTTTTAGTATTCTATGTTTATCTTTTAATTTAGAGAATTTGACTATGATATGTTTTGATGTTTTCCTTTTTTAGATCTAGTCTATTCTGTGTTCATTGAGCTTCTTGAATGTGGATTTCTCTGTTTTTTATAATACCTGGGAAGTTTTCTTCTAGTACCTCTTTTACAGTTTGCTCAGTTATTTCCCTGTCCTTCTCACGTTCTGGAATTCTAATCATACATATATTGTTCCTTTTGATGACATCCCACATGATTCTATCATTGTCTTCATTTTCTTTATGTTTCATCTCTGATTTTTCTACCATTATGTTTCCACTGCGGTTCTTGTATTCCAGCTCACTGACTTTCTATTCCATCTCTTCAATTCTACTTGTTTGTCCCTCTAGCATGTTGGACACTTCTGTCATTTTGGTCTTAATATTCTGGATTGAATTTCTGTTAGTGTTGGCTGTACCCTTTTCATCTTGTGATGATTTTTTAAGTTCTTATACATCTTTCACTATTGTTTCAAACCTTTCGTCCACCTTTTGCATTTTCTTCCATAGTTGCTCTAGGTGCTCTTCATCAATATATTTGTTCTGGTTCCCTGTCTCTGGAGTATTCACATTCTTAATGGTTTCCATTACTTTCCTCCATCATTTGCACGTTCTTCTTTAGCTATTCAAATAACTCCACATCAATATATTTCTTCTAGTTCTCTGTGTCTTGAATATTCATTGGGTCTGCAATATGCTCTGATTTTTTTTTAGAAAAAAGGTTATTTTGGGTTGTTGGGGGTTTTTTTTATGATGTTTAAGACTGCCTGCTCCTTTCTTGACATTATGTGAATCTTTTCTTAGTGACTGTTAGGCTGTCATAAGTCTGTAATGTCCCAGGGGAAGGCAATGTTCTATGAAGTTACTGTATATTGGTGCTACCCTTTTAGCTTGATAGCCACAGGCATAAGGGCCTGAAGTGGCATAGTGCTGTTCTCTGGAAGACCGTAGTGGGTTCATTCCTGATCCCTTTTGGCTTAAGAAATCCCAGCCTTTCTCCACATGTTGCAGTCAGGAGGGTTCAAGGGCTGAAGTACCTAGATTGTCAAGCTCAGGGATTTATTATCTTCTGGAAACACTGATGAGTCCACTCCTGTTCCATTTGGCTTAAGAAATTCCAAGTCTTCTCCACATGTTGCAGTTAGGAGAGTTCAAGGGCAGAATTGGGGCTTTAACTCTTTATGGGAGGAGATTGCCCATCTCTCTTCTTCCGGGTGAGTGGTAAATTTGCACAGATATCATGGCATTATTAGCCTGATATGTATCCATTATATCATTCTAGAAGGAGAATAGGTTCTTTTCACTCTGTTTAGACCCCTTATGCAGTGATAAAACATTTTTTCTAAGCATTCTTTATCTTGGAAAAACTGTAACCAGAACATTCCTTAGAGGCAAGGATGACGAATCTTCATCTCACATAATTTGTGGATATTGTTTGGAGAGGCTGGTCTTCAGAAAAAGACATCTTGCTTGGAATGGTGGAAGATCAGTGAAAGAGATAAAAATAACCAATGAGATAGATTGACACAGTGACCATGACAATGGACTTTAGTATATCAGAGATGATTAGGATGGCACAGGACAGGGGAAGGTACAGAGCTGCTGTTCACAGAGTCACCAAGGATTGTAGTTGACTCAAGGATACCTAACAACCACTAGGTTGTTATGTCTCACTGAAAACAATCAGATGCATTCCAGTGGATAAAATCTTATGACAAATATTCCAAAGTATAAATAATAATAATAATTCAATATAAACAAAAATAATATAAAAAATGTTTTCCCATTAAAGTTGAGAGGTAGGTTGGGCATTCTGGTTTGGGTTGGGTTTTTTTCTGATGTTTTATTGTGTTTTTTAAATTCTATCAATAAATGCATGCCTAAATAAGAAGAGTCATATTGAACTACAGAGCTAGTTTTGTAAACAAACTTTTGGAAAGAAAAAATATTTCTAACTGCATAAATCAAATCCAATAAAGTTCTAGTACATAGCACACAAGGTTGGTATTTGATAACAGGTTTATAATATGACACTCAGGGAAGGCAACAATGGGTTTGAGCATTGCAGAGATTGTGAGGATGGTGCAAGGTAGGGTACAGGCTGCATCTGTTGTTAGGATTGTTAGACAGCACCTAATAATAATAATAACAACCTGAGTGTACAGTGTCTTTAAGTATCAGAATTATAAAATTATTCCTTTATCACTTACTTAAATTTTGGTTTCATTCTCTTTCCTGTGGAAGATCTAGTGCCCAAGGGATTAATCAGTAAACCTCAGTCTCTGGAGATGCTAGCACGGCAGAAGTCATCAGACATCCTGGAGGAACTAATCATTCAAGGGATAATACAAAGTCACAGTAAAGTGGTTAGAAATGGAGAATCATACGATGTCATGGTAAGTAATTTTATAATAAACACTAACATGTAAGGTAGTAAATGAGTTAATCACAAATTGTTCTTTTCAGCATATGCATTTGAGAATGACAACAGATAATAGCATTTTTTCTAAGCCAGTTTTTCAGCTTGTGAATTCTCACCCCACCTGACACACAGTCCCTCTCTACTAATTGAGGAATTGTCCTCGTTGTTCATATTTAATGAATTTAATATAACATACATATTCACTGAGGCTGTGGGTTCTGACCTATAGTAATCTTCAAGTGGGTTTGAAGCCATAAATTGCAAAGGGAGAAGTTTGTCCATTTTTCTCCATCTGAGCTCCTGATAGATTCAAACCAATGGAGACACAAAACTTTTGAGTTAGCAATGCAACTTAGGTTTTACTAAATTTGAGACCCAGTAAACCTCTTTTATTTAATAATAAGCCATTTTTCTTTCAGAAATTTTTATTGTGGTTCCCTATATATTAGGTGTTAGATAGAAAAAAAGACTGGAGAGAGAAAGAAAGAAAGAATCTGGTCACAAGAAATAAACAGGCCTTTATTGCCTGGTCTGAGAGGGACGCCAAGTGACCTTGTACAAAGAAGGTCAAAATGGGCAGACAAGGAGAATTCCTTTTTATAGGGTGTTTTAGGAAGGACTAGGGAAGATGGTATTTTGCTTGGAATTTGGAGTGAGTGTTCTGTTACTTAACTTGTGTATAGGCTTTTGTGATCAGGCCCAGAGCTTTATCAAGGTCCTGTCTTCTGGACTGGTTGTCTTAGACATTATCAAGTTTCTTCAAGTTTACAGAATACTCCTGGGCCTCCACAAGAAAAAAAAATATATAACCCGATTACAAAATGGGAAAAAGATATGGAAAGAATTTTCAGAGAGGAAGACAATTCGAATGGCAAACAGATACATGAAGAAATGCTCCAAATCACTGGCAATAAAAGAAATGCAAGTCAAAACCACAATGAGATACCATCTCACTCCAGGAACAGTGGCAAAGTTTAACAGGGCAGAAAGTAATAGATGTTGGAGGATGTAGTGAGAAAGGAACTCTTATACATTGTTGGTGGAATTGTAAAATGATGCAACCATTCTGGAAGGCAGTTTGGTGCTTCCTCAAAAAGCTGAACATAGAAATTCCATATGATCCTGCTATTCCACTACTTGGAATATACTCTGTGAATATGAGAACTGAGGTACAAACTGAGATTTGTACACCAATGTTCATAGCCGCATTATTCACCATAGCAAGAACATGGAAACAGCCCAAATATCCAACCACAAATGAATGGATTGAGAAATGATGGTACATTCACACAATGGAATACTATGCAGCACGCAGGAACAATAACTTTGTAAATTATTACCTAACTTGGGAGGGACTGGAGAGCATAATGCTAAGAGAACTAATTCAGTCCCACAAGGATAAATATTGCATGAAACTGTTATTGTAGAATGAGTATAAGGATCTAGGAGGGGTGGGAGAGGCCGGAAGCAGAGGGATGTGGATGTGTGGTGGGGGGGATTAATCATTAGGTTATACAATTTGATGGGTGAGGGGGGTGAGAGAAATTGAAAGAATTTGTTCATATTTGTATTCGAGTTTTGTAAATAAACTAGCAGAGAGAAGAAGAAAAAATATCTTTAAAAAAAAAAAGAAAAGAAAAGAAAGAGTGATCAGGCCTGGGGGCAATTGCGACATTCTTCCATTAGGAATTGAGGATAGAAACTGAAGTTTGTCTGACTGAATAAGCAAGCAGCCTTGAATGCCACAGCTAAGATATGACTACCTGTTCATAAGAATAAAGCAGTACTGGTTCAGTGATAGAATTCTATGCCAGAGGCCCAGCTGCATTTTCAGTCAATGCACCTCACAGCCAGCATCCTTCTGTGGATGGAGACTTTTATGTTGCTATGATACTGAACAAGCTTCTTCAGAGATTCTAGAATAGATGGATTAGAAAGAAAGGTCTGGTGATCTACTTTTGACAATCATCCATTGAGAAAACCAGGAATCACAATTAATAAAAATACAAACAGCAGAAGGCAAAATAAATATTTATAGACTCTAGGCTTTTTAGAACTTTGTGGAGAGTGATTGAACCCCTGAAGCTATTGCTCTGAGATAATCTTTAAACATTAACCAAAAATACTTTCAGAAGTCATCTTAACCAAATAATAGTTCCGTTTGACTAGCAGCACAGATGGTGAAACTTCCTCTCACAAACTTTGGACATGTTCCTTTTCACATGTCTTTTTAACTTTTTATATTTTATTATGCTGATTTATTTACAAAGTTCTAATACATTATTTTAAACAAAAGATCCTTCCCATTTCCTTCACCCTACCCATCTATCAAATTGTGCAATCCTATGATTAACACTCTACCCCCCCATCTCCCCACCCCTCTATTTCCACCCTCCTTCATTGAGTCCTCATTCTCATTCTACAATAATGGTTTTATATAGTATGTTTCCTTGTGGCACTAAGTTAGTTCACTCAGCATAATGCTCTCTACTCCCTCCCAAGTTAGGTAGTAATTTACAAAATCATTGCTCCTGCATGCTGATATATCCTCTCTCCATACTTTTTCAATCTATGTACAGAACAGATTATTCAGGAAGTTTGGCTTTATTAGGAGGAATGTGGCATCAGGATTGGAGGAAGATTAATCAACAACTTGCATTATGCAAATGGAAAAACTGTAGTTGCTGAAACTGGAGAGGACCTGATGCACTTGCTGTAAAAGGTCAAGGACTGTAGTCTTCAATATAAATTGAAGCTTAACATCAAGAAGATAAAGATTCTCACCACTGGGACAATTGGCAGCACCATAATAGATGGAGAAGACATTGAGGTTGTTAACAATTACAGCTTGCTTGGATCCACAATCAACACTCTTGGCACTATCAGTCAAGAAATCAAAAGATTAATTGCATCGGGAAAATCTGCTGTCAGGGACCTCTCCAGAGTACTGAAGAGCAATGTTGTCAGTCTAGACATCAAGTGCCTAATCCAGGCATGGTCTTCACAATTACTTGCTATGCCTCAAAGAGCTGGACAATGAGTAACAATGACAGAAGAATTGATGCCTTTGAGTTGTGGTGCTAGAGAAAAGTCTTGAATATACCATTAATCAAGAAGGAAACAAATGGGTCTGTCTTGGAGAGGGTGAACCCAATTTTCTCTTTGGAGGCTAGAATATTGAAGCTCTGTCTCACATACTTCCTGGCACGTGGCCAGGAGAGACAGATGCCTACAGAAGGACATCATGCTTGGAAGGGTGGAGGGAAAGCACAGGAAAGGAAGACCTCCAGATAAGATGGACTGATATAGTAACTGGGGCAACAGGAGTTGGTGTGTTGCATTCAGTGAGACTGGCTCAGAACAGGGCAGACTTCAGAGCATACGGTCAGTACATAGAGTCACTATGGGTTGCAGCACACAACAACAACAACAGGGCAACATTTAAATCTGTTAATATGGTCGCTGTGAATCATAGTTGACACAATGGAATCTAACAACAACAATAAAATAAAAATTAACCTTGAATTTTGTCCTCTTTTTTAAGATCTACATAGAATCAACTTGACAACAAGAAGCTGAAATTTTAGATAGTATCTTTAGGAGACAATTAATTTGTGTGAATGATGGAAATAACCAAGAAAAGGTTGTTGAGAATGATGTCACATCAACTGGGAAAATGTTATCTAGTCACTAATTTGTACACGTACAAGCTGTCAAATTGATTAATGTTTTGCCTTCAGTGTGTGTATATTCTCAACAACAAAATAAATAAAATTAGGGAAACCTTTATGGATATCAACGGAATATTGTCTGATTGATTTAACTTGGACCTGTCATCAGGAGAGATAAATCAACAGAGGAGGGCATTACGTTTGGCCAGTGAGGAATGGGAGACCACCAGTGAGATGGCTGACACACAGCTTCAACAGTGGACTAGCGATTATGAAGATGATGCAGGATCAGACAGTGTTTCACTGGGTTTCATGAGGGTGCCATGACAGGCAGCTAACAACATAACAAGACAAAATACAACATAATGCAAGGCAAGGAAAATACTTGCCTAATTTGAAAGTATTAGAAAGAGAGAGATCTCCAGATAAGCATAGATTTTCTCTCTATAGGTAGATTTTCTGGGTTTAGAGAAAAGAAGATACAGAATAAGGAAAAGGCAGAAACAGTTGGAGTGAAGAAGGGCATATTTTGGAAACAATCAGTATCCTTCTTCAGAGAAATAACATGAGGGCGGGGCAGGGATAAAAATGTGCAACAATGAATGAATGGAAATCCAAGTTCTCTACAAATTTTCATTAACATCTCAATTAAAAAATGCATTTAAAAAAGAGAGAGAAATAACATAGAACTCTGAGAGAAATAACACAGAACCCTGGATGGTAGGAACAACAGTGAAATATTTTTCAATGATTCAGATTGCAGAGAGGAATAAATGAATGAATTTATATTCAGGTCTTGTGATAGCATCAGAGCAGGTTATGATAAAAACTTCACTGTGAGACAAATGTAACTATTAAAAATTAAAAAGTGCAGGTTTGACTTTCAGTAACATCAACAAGTGAACTAAAGATAAAGATTTGTCATATTTTACAGGAACAGAATTGTTGCTAGAAGTGTAGTGGTTGCTAGAAGCATAGTTGGAGTGTTCTCAAAAGGATTTAAATGTTACAGAATCACAGCGTTAAGCAAGAATAACACAATTCTTTTCTTTTTTTTTCCCCCTTTGGTGTTGGGCCAGGATGTCCCAGCATAAACCAGACTTGCAATACAGCTCTGTATTTTCTTGCCTCGTCTGATGATTTTTCACCTATCTGCACATTCCCATGGCCTGGAGATCAGGAGTTTTCAAAAATCCTAGTGGCCAGACCCTACCACATCCCCATACACCAGATGTTGTTATTAGGTGTCATCAAGTTGATTCTGCCTCACAATGGCCTCGTTTATGAGGAGAACGTTTCCAGT